TGAAGAAACCATGAAACCATCATCCCTAGTTGCAGAAACACAGTCCAACAAAACTCTTGAATACAAGTTACATGCTTTTGGATTATTTGTCACTCACAGAACAGAAAAGATAGATAATGCAAACCAAAAAGCCTTAAACCAGCTCTAATCAGCTGAGGTTTAATCTGCCTATTTCAACTGTGGTAGGGTGTGCACTAGTGAAAAGAGGCCCAAGGCTAAGAATTGTCCATTTCTCAAATCCAATTTGCTCTCAACCAGAGTGAAAGTCCTGCCACCAACTAAACTATCTCCTCATTTAATAATCTGGCAATAAATCCCCAGAGCTTTCTGAAGACTATTTTAGCCAATGTTCAGACTGTACAGTCGGGAGATCCATAATGTTTTCCATTTAAAAAATAAATTGCTATCAGGTTTCATAGGAAAACACACATGTGTATCAATAATATTTTTACTTTCAAGAGTAGAACTGCTGGTAGAAAAGTCTCCCCTCTCCACAAATTTTTACTTGTATTAAAACCTGTGAAGTATACGTGGCTAGATATTTACAAAGACTATAAAACAACACTGGCAGGGTCTGGATGAAATCCTGTCATCTTGCTTATTTTCAGCCAGAAGGATGGCAGTTAAACTAAGAAGTGACTAAGGCATAGGATTTGAACCAGAAAAGATAGTTGGAGTTCTTTAATAATGAATGTTACAAGATGTGAAAGATGCTGGAAACACAAAGTAAGCTAAACTCCAGCCTAGAAAATAGAAAGTTCTAACTACCACATCAAACTCATTACTGGACCAGGGAAAACAATATTGAAATGTCTTTGTGCAGAAGTGACACTACTAATCCAGGGAGTGCAAATCTTTTCCTGGTACTGCACACATTGAAGCATCTGGCACCAAGAAGTTAAAAAACATGGAAAAGCAATCCCCGACTGCTGTTTTCAACAAAAGCTGATTAGCCTTACCTTGGAGACTGGGAGTTGAAGCAACGCTGGTTTGTTATACTCTTGCCAGTCCTCCATATGGACAGATTGGGAAGTGTAACACAAACCCTATACTGCTATTATGTAGCCAGCCACAAGAAGTAAAGCAAATACACTCAGATGGTCAAGAGTAAGTCATGGAGACAAAGTAAAAATCCCCTAAATCAACAAACCAGCCCTGATCAGAAAGGGGGCTAAACCAATGATTTCAAAATACAATTTAACTGCGCTAATCCCTACTATATAAAATGAGGGCCTGTCTGATGAAAAGAGGACGTTTGGCCTGATAATCTGCATGTTAAATTCCAAATCTCACCCAATGAGGCTACCTGTCTGCAGGATACAGAAGCAACTGAACTGCTGCTCAATATTAAAGTATTTATAGGCCAGTATTTTCTCCATTTGTAAACTGGCAGCGTAAACCTCCTTGACATTAGCATAGAAGAATCTAGCAAATCTAGCACAATCGGTTTTGTAATCAACTTCTAAGAGCCTACTAAAGCATGTTGTCAGTTATTGCAACACCACTTGGACAGCAAAGGATAAGAATCTCTATGGTGTAGGTTGTTCATTACCACCCTTAAACAAATATCAGCACTGTCACACCATCAAATGTATATGTAAATGTGCCAACCTTCAGAAACAAGATACTACCAACAGACTCAGGTAAAGGCACATGTGCACATTGGTAATGTATGTACACATCTGTCCCACAGCAAAAGAAAAAGAATTAGAGGAGAACAATAGGGTATCATCACAGAATCATAGAATCATAGAATGGTTTGGGTTGGAAGGGACCTTAAGATCATCTAGTTCCAATCCTCCTGCCACAGGCAGGGACACCTTCCACTAGACCATGTTGTGCAAAGCCTGATCCAGCCTGGCTTGTGAAAATTTCCAGGGATGTGCCATCAACAACTTCTCTGGGCAACTTGTTCCAGTGCCTCACCATCTTATCATAGAATCATAGAATAGTTAGGGTTGGAAAGGACCTTAAGATCATCTAGTTCCAACCCCCCTGCCATGAGCAGGGACACCACACACTAAACTATGTCGCCCAAGGCTCTGTCCAATCTGGCCTTTAACACCACCAGGGATGGAGCATTCACAACTTCCTTGGGGAACCCATTCCAGTGCCTCACCACCCTCACTGTGAAGAACTTCTTCCTTAGATCTAACCTAAACTTCCCCTGTTTAAGTTTAAACCCATTCCCACTTGTCCTACCACTAGCATCCCTAATGAAGAGTCCCTCCCCAGCATCCTTGTAGGCCCCCTTCAGATACTGGAAGGCTGCTACAAGGTCTCCACGCAGCCTTCTCTTCTCCAGGCTGAACAGCCCCAACTTTCTCAGCCTGTCTTCATACAGGAGGTGCTCCAGCCCCCTGATCATCCTCGTGGCCCTCCTCTGGACTTGCCCCAGCAGCTCCATGTCCTTTTTATGTTGAGGACACCAGAACTGGACACAATACTCCAAGTGAGGTCTCACAAGAGCAGAGTAGAGGATCACCTCCTTTG